CTTCGGGTTTATATGATCCGTTCATCCTATGTTGACTCTTTCAAAATTCAAGAGTATATCCTAAATTGAGGTAAATTATATGGCCTTCCAAATACCGTTTCTATTCCTAACATTACTGAAAAGACATTAATTGTCGAAATCCGGATATGGTGTACACATTTTTGCACCTCATGTTTGCAGTATACCATCTTTTCCGCAAATTTATTGTTTTCTGTTTGGTAATAAATTAATAATAAGATCTATTTTGTTACATATTGTGATCCTTTTTTTTGCCAATCGCCAATGGCAGTCAGCAGGGTTTAAGAACATCAGTTGTTCCACCTGCTTGTCAAATGCGTTTTGTTAAAATATACTTTTTCACTCATTTGGTATTTTGGAAAATGTTGTTTGTGTTGTATTTAGACCCCTCTATCAGACAATTTGTTTTGCATGCACACGTATAAAAATTGCGGTTTTTATCCAACGCAATCATAGGTTTGAACGTTGTTTTGAATTTAGACTAGATATATATATATATACATGTATATACAAGTCTAAATTGAAAACAACTTTCAAACCTATGATTGCGTTGGATAAAAACCGCAATTTTTATACATGTCCATGCAAAACAAATTTCTTGGTAGAGGGGTCAAAATACAGCACAAACAACATTTTCCAAAAGACCAAAAAAGTGGAAAAAGTATATTTTAACAAAACGCATTTGACTAACAGGTCGAACAACGGATGTTCTTAAACCTTGCTGACTGCCATTGGCGATTGCCAAATAAACGGATCACAAGATGTAACAAAATGGATCTTTATTATTAATCTAATACCAAATAGAAAACAATAAACTTGCGGAAAAGATGGTATACCGCTAACATGAGGTGCAAAAATTTGTACACCATATCCGGATTTCGACAATTAATGTCTTTTCAGTGGTGTTAGGAATCGAAACGGTATTTGGAAGGCCATATAATTTACCTCAATTTAGGATATACTCTTGAATTTTGAAGAGTCGAAATAGGATGAACGAATCATATAAACCCGAAGGCAAATATAATACAAGCCTAAACTAAAAAATATGAATAAGTCTAAATTTAAAACAACGCTCAAACCTATGATTGCGTTGGATAAAAACTGCAATTTTTATACGTCTGCATGCAAACCAAAGTTATTGGTAGAGGGGTCCAAATACAGCACTAACAACATTTTCCAAAAGACCAAAAAAGTGAACAAGTATATTTTAACAAAACGCATTTGACTTTCAGGTCGAACAACAGATGTTCTTAAATCCTGCTGACTGCCATGACGATTGCCAAATTAACGGATCACCAGATGTAACAAAATGGATTTACCCCATATGCAAGCACTAGCGCAACTGGGATGTTGCTAAATATAAATGGATAATTCACAATGTGAGTACTCAGCATATAATAGGACACTGAATTCTAATTTACGTTTGGAGATGTTCATTTTCAACTTAAGGGTTTTCTTTTCGTCTTTTACTTATAAATTAGTCGAAATAACAGTTTGAGCATTTCAAATTTGGCTAAGTAAGGCGTCGATGTAATATTTACATCAAACACATAGATCAATATGTGTTGATTTCTTAATTGGTACTAAGTGAAATTTATTATATATGTCTTTAAGTTTAGATTGTGTTCAAGGTAACAGCACGTTTTGATTTTGAGTCTGTACATAGTAATCGTTAAAGTACTTTATAGCTTTTTTTACATTGTACATTACACTTTTTTAAAATTTATTTGAAGCTCATTTATCAGGCTTTTACTCAATATTAACATATCTTTTTCGAAAATTCGTCAAATGGATTTTAAATGGGGAACAATATTTTGGTTCATTAAGCATACAAATGAAAATATCACTTATTATGTTAGTGCATCCAAGAAGATCGTTTTAATTAGCATACTCCGGGAGCGCTCAAAACCGAACCTTTGAAGCAAAGAATGCACAAATACTCGAGGAACTATATGACCAGGAGGGACCTTAAAAGAATAACAAAAATTAACTGTAAATATTGCTAAAGAAAGTTTGAACCATAGTTTCTTGGAAATATTTCCACGAAAATTTAAGATTAAAGTGATAGAGTAAAGAATTTCTAAATCTATTGTTCGTGAATGATGGCCACAATACCGCTAACCATATGAACACTGGTAAGATATATATATATATATATATATATATATGATGAATTTGAATAGTTACATATTGTTCGATATTGATCATAAGTATTAGCATCTTATGTTAAAGACGAATAATTGGAGAAACGACAAACCTTTAAGGATGTTTGTTACTGTTGTATTCAATTCTTTGTCAGGTATCCGGAATCCTCTATTTTTATCGATGTAGTGCTAATAGAAATTATGCCCGCTAACCCTTTTCATAATTTCATTACATATAGTTCAATAAACCATTTTTGAAAATCTTATAAAATCCTTGTTATTTTTTCATAGGTGTTGAAAGAAAAAAGAAGCCATTGTAAAATGTATGAACAATCTAGAGAGAATCATTTCCCGCCAATTCTCAATTTTTTTTCTGCTTTTTAAGTTCCTTAATTTGTATACTATCAATTTATTACATTCTTTTAAAAAGCTTGTTATTTTGAAACCAAGGAGCGAACATCCTTAAATGAGTATGAAATTCTGGTAATTTGTTTTTTCATTATATTTTTTCATCATTATGTTTTCCATCATTTTGAAACCGATAAAATCAGTTATGCAGATTAACAAACTGCTTACCCTTTCCTACCACATCCGTTTCCGGTTTTGATTGGGGGTATTGGTTCGCAATATTTAATTGGATTGGTTTAGTTTTTTGTGTTTGGAATTTTATTTGGGTGTTGTTGTGGTCATAGTATAGGTAATTCTTCTTCGATTTGTTATTTTTAATTGCTTCTATGATATCTTTTATCTTTTTATTCGTTAATGTGGATTAAGATACGACGGATTGGAATATAAGCTATCGCGTTAGAAAATGCTGCAAACAATACTTTTTGACTACATATTTGTATCAATTGTACATCTGTACTGGCCGACTTGTTGTTGTATTGATATGAAGCAGAATTCTTGCAAAAACTTTCCAAGTACTTCACGAAACTTCTTCAAATTATTAACATCAATTCTATCAGCCATCGAAGCCTAGTCTTTAGTTTTCTATGTTGTGTCATCTGTACTATTATTTGTCTGTTTGTCTTTTTATTTTTGGCCATGGCGTTGTCAGTTTGTTTTCGATCTATGAATTTGACTGTCCCTCTGGTATCTTTCGTCCCTCTTTTAAGAGTTATTGAGAAACTATCTATTGACGGCGTGAACCAGATGTGGACGTTTAAACATTTCAAAGACCTGTTTGAGCACATATAATCGAAGTCCTTTTTCTATTACAAAAGTATAAAAACATATGATTTTTCTACCCTTTATAGGAGTATTCTTAATTCAATACTTAAAGACATATTGAAAGAAGTGGTCTTAATTTGTCTCATAAAACAGAATAGCCAGCGTTTAAACAAATCTCTTTTAAAATAATACTTTGTAACGATTACTCTGACTGAAATAAAAAATACTCTGACACTGCCATTATCATAATGCTTGATTTCCTGATTGACATGATAGTTGTTACGTTTAGGGGACGTGCTTTTAAACACAAAGTTGGCATTCCTATTGACACCAACTATGCTCTTCTAATAGCCGACTTTTTCTTTTATTCATTTGAGGCATAATTCATACAGGAGTTTCTTATGGGGAATGAATAGAAGCTTGCACTAATCTTTAACTTAACGTCCCGCTATGAAGATGATTTACTTTGACTAAATATTTTAAGGGTTTGCAACAATGTTGAACATACTTATCGCATCGATCTTGAGATAAGGGATACTGTGAATTCATCATTATTCCTGAGATACCAATTGTTTTGTGATGTCGTTGGTGAAGGTGGACCACGTATTTAAATGTTCAACGAAAAGCAAATTTTCTTAAGGCTTGCATACAAATTTTGGTACAACTTCGAAATCCAATATCAACGAACATACGATGTTTCCCTAATCAATGAAAACTGGTACCCAGGAAAAAAAATTATTCCACAGTACAACAGATACAATTAAATTGCTTATCAATTGTTTCCTTGCGAATCTAAAACTGGATGAATAATTAGTTTATTGTTGGTGGCCGCTTAATGGTAGAAGTAGATGTGCAAGGGTGAAAAAAGATAATTTTAGCTTGCTAATCTTTAAATTTCTATTTCTATGTAGCAACATTTTAGAAGCGCCTCCATATGGAATGTACATCTCCCATGGGATACGTTATACCAGCGGTTGCATTTCCTATCATGATTTCCTTGATAGAGGTTTGCTGCTTACAAGGAAACTACCAAACCAAGAGTTCCAAGTGGTTAATTTGAAATCAGCCCTTCGAACATTTTACAGACGCCATCACGATTTGGTTGATCGTTATGGAATATCTTTTTTACCTATGACAACGGATATGTTCAAATTGTTATACACATTTCCATCCTCTTTTCCTCAAATGTGACATAACCAAATAAGTCTTATCAACGATCGTTTACTTACATGAGCATCACGACGATTGCCATGTACTTAGTATTTAGCAGGATGGATCTGCTTACCCTTCCATAACACATGTAATCACAACCAGTTTTTTGTGAGGTTCTTGCTGCTAAGTCGTACGTTTTGTATTTTGTGTTTTGTATACTGTTATGTATCTTTTGATCTTTTTACCATGGCGTTTGTCATCGACTTATGAGTTTGAATATCCTTCGGTATCTTCCGACTCAATCTCCAAAATAGTCTTTATCTCATTTCATCTCCCTCCTATATACCTCATAAATGTGTTGGGTTGATGTCTGTTGTGTTAATCCCACATATTAGTAAACCAAATGATCGGAATAGCATGTCAGACCCTATCAAATTTCACCAAGACATCAATCCTACAAATTCAGCTATGCACTTCTATTATTGAATATCGTTTTGCCAGAATTGATTAACATAATTAAAATTAATCATATTGTAAGTGAAATATTCATTTTGCATTTACAATAAGAAGTCGATACAATTTACAGTCACTAAACAAGTCTTCTTTATAGCGACTAACATTGGTTAAAAGTTCCCCTTTCAAATTCTCTTTTGTCATCTTTTGAAAGAGTCTGCCATTTTTGATTAAAAAGGCAGTTATCTGTATAGTAAAATCCTCCCCTTAGTTTGCCTGAAATATGAATGAATAACAACTTTAGGCATTTCTGTTTGTTTGTTTCTGTATTTTTTACAAGTCCATTAAATTTGCTTGAACAGTGATTTTATTATTTTTTTTAAACAACAGCGCAGTGCTGGCAGAGACATGGCCACCACTTTGAATTTCTTCGTGGCTGAGAAATGTCATTTTTATAAATCAAGTTCAAATGTCGAAGTGATGCTTTGTATGATAACCTTGATTGTTTCTATAATAACATATTTTACCTTTTTTTGTTCACCAACAACCATAAAAAAAACTCCTTTTATCAAATAATGGCATAGAGAATGATAACGGGGAATGTGTCAAAGAGACAACAGAAAACACTCAAAAGCCACCAATTGGTCTTTAACGTAGCGATAAAATCCTGCTCTCGGAGGCGGGCTTCAGCTGACCCCTAAACAAATATGTATACTAGTATATCGAAACGGACGCGACATTCAGCTCTAAAACACTTAAATGATCCAAAATAAAAAAAAAAACACACAAGACTAACAAAAGCTAGAGGTACCTTACTTGGGACAAGCACGACAATGCGGGGGAATGGGTGGGTGTTAACATATCTTTTTCAGATCTCAACCCTTTCCCTATACCTCTACCAAATGTGGAATAAACAAACACACAATAAAACTCGGTAGAAAAGAAGTCCAAATCCGGTGTTAGAGTAGGTAACATAATAAACTAAGCAACATGACAAAGATAAACACAAATAAACAAAGGACTACTAGCAGTTACTGACATTCCAGCTATAGACTTCAATTAAACTGATTGAAAGATTATATGAAAATCAACAACAATAACTCCTGTTAAGGGTTCAGTATGATACCATCATAATTTAAACGAGAGGGACATAACCCGTATAATGCCAACAACTGGTTTGGAAAATAAATGTGTTCATTTCCAATCAAAGACCTTATGAGAGAATCAATATTTATTCTATCTTTAATGACTTGACAACAGTATCGTAACTATATCCCTTGTGAATAAGTCTGTTTAAAGGTTTGGCTTGTTTTTGATGTGAAAGACGACATTTTTGTGATTCAAATAGGATATTATAATGAAAGATGGATCGAAAATACCTCAACGTACAAGATGTCTGCACGTTGATTTAAATTTATGAATGATGTCCTTGTAGCGTAGATAAAATTTAGTTAACTATTTGACAAGTTTACGATATGGAAAACCCTTGTGTTATAATTTTTTCAGTAATACAGAGATTTAATTCGTTAAAATCAAATACGTTACAAATATGACAGTTGTTATCCATTTGTTTGATGTGTTTGAGCTTTTGTTTTTGCCATTTGATTAGGGACTTTCCTTTTTGAATTTTCCTCGGAGTTCAGTATTTTTGTGATTTTACTTTTTACTACATACACGAGCAAATTGAACAAGTTGAGATTTATAAACACTATACGATGGTGCCAATGGAACGTCACCATCTAAAAACTGATAATTAACAATAGGAAATGAAACATCACCTCTTTTAGATAAAACTTCCCGTTATACAAATAGATATCACGATTCAGGAAAGGGCAGCGTTCATTGTTAGTATTAGCTTTATGTAAAGTAAGTTCAACATGAGCAATCTCTAAAGTTTATATACTGAAGTCGGCATTATTCGGAGCTAAAATATCATCCAAATATTTAAACGTGTTATGAAATGTGGATATCAAATGTTGTTTCGATGAGTCTTTGCTGATTTAATATATTCATTTGGTTTCGTAACAGTACAGAAACAGGTCTGCAAATAGTGGTGCATAGTAAGTCTCCATTTGGAATTCCGATAACATAGCGAACAAAAATGTTATCTAGTAAAAATTCAAGTGCATTTATCATATCAAAGCAGGTCCAATTGACATATTTCTTGTGTGTGTTGTTACTAAAAAATGACCAAATGAGTTTGAACATATATATTCACAATTGACTTTTTAAATGCCCTTTTAATTATGTATGTGAATTTTTCTAATGAGATTATGAGGCAAAGTGATATATAGGGTAGACAAATCAAAACTTTGACAGATTCGAAAGCATCTATATGAGTTTGCAATTTATCAAGTACTTCTTTCGAATTATTGAAACTCCAAAAGTTATAAACTGCACTATTTCTATAGACCTTATTTAAAAACTTTATTGTTAGGTTTTGTTTTTACTTAAAAATGACTTAAATGCGTTTGAACATATATATATATATATATATATATATTCACATTTTGACTTTTTAAATGTCTATTTGATCAGGTATGTGATGCTTTTAAAAGAGATTATGAGGCAAAGTGGTATATAGGGTAGACACATCAAAACTTTGACAGATTCGAAAGCACCAAAAATGAGCTTGCAATTTATCAAGTACATCAAACGAATTATTGATACTCCAAAAGTAATAAATTCCACTATTTTTGTAGACCTTATTTGAAAACTTTATTATCAGGTTCCTGCAGCTTTTGAGGCCAATTTATAGTTAGAACTATCATGTTATTAAGTTCTGCTTGTAAAGAGGCAGCAAAAAGTCTAAGTTTGATAACGATGTCATTTCCCGAAAATTTAGTCTGCTTGAATGTTGGTGAATTTATGATTTCCTTTTGCAGAACCTCAATATAGAATTTACGTCAGACAATAATGATATTATTAACAGCCTTATCAACCGGGACAAAAACAAATGCCTTGCCGAGTTCATTTAGCTTTAGTTTGATACGAGAAATATGGCTATTATGGTTGTTGCTAGGAGTCAAATGTTCTTTCAATCAGTTTAATTGAGGTCTGGAGCTGGCATGTCATTAACTGCTAGTAGTCTGTTGTTATTTATGTATTATTGGCATTTTGTTTATTGTCTTTTGTTTCCTATTCTGACATCGGACTCGGACTTCTCTTAAACTGAGTTTTACTGTGCGTACTGTTGTACGTTTGTTTTTTCTACATTGGCTAGAGGTATAGGGGGAGGGTTGAGATCTCAAAAAACATGTTTAACCCCGCCGCATGTTTGCGCCTGTCCCAAGTCAGGAGCTCTGGCCTTTGTTAGTCTTGTATCATTTTTGATTTTAGTTTCTTGTGTATAATTTGGAGTTTAGTATGACGTCCATTATCACTGAACTAGTATACATATTTGTTTAGGGGCCAGCTGAAGGACGCCTCCGGGTGCGGGAGTTTCTCGTTGCATTGAAGACCCATTGGTGACCTTCGGCTGTTGTCTGCTCTATGGTCGGGTTGTTGTTTCTTTGACACATTCCCAATTTCCATTCTCAATTTTATTTGAAATGTTCAATCCGAATATCAAGTAATTTCTTTACTGAATTGAAAAAAAAGGTTTTCTTGTCAGCTTTTTCTCGTTTTCTCGATTTTATACAGTAAGTATGGAGTGAATCGTGGATGATGTCACGACACTCATTCCAATTTATCATTAACTGATGACGATATTTAGGTTCTTTTCTAAGAAGTGATTTCAACTCTCGGTCCTTGACAATGTTAAGATCATTTGTTATAACATCGGAATTGGGGACATAAATGTATGTGGAATTGCTGTAATTTCATGACGTAGGTGTATTGTCACTGATATTTACATCTTTACACATATCGCTATAACTAAAAACATATTTCCGGGCAGTTTTTTGGTGAACATAACAAATAAGAGGGAGCTCAGTATTATCGAAATAACCAGGAATTTGTTCTTTTACACCACGATCATTAAGAATACTGGCAATATTTATGGAATCAAAACCTTTATTTACATATTTGATTAACAAAAATTCTTATTTATGATCTTCAGGGCGATCAATTTTGAGAAACAGTTTAGAATAACAGTATGCAATCATACTTTGGAAGATTTCATAATGAAATATGAGTTTTCGATAAATATGCCTTAATCATGCACATAGAGAAGTTTTCGCTCGGACACACACTTTATAAGTATGTAATTCATAAGAACATACACATTAAGCACGAGAAGGCACTCTACTGTCTCCAACGGGCAATAAAATCAAATTCTGTAAAAAAAATAGTATAGATAATGGAAACGGGGAATGTGTCAAAGAGACAACAATCCAACAAACGAACAGGATCCAGCCCAAGGCCACCAATTGATCTTTATCGCATCGAGAAACACTGGTTTTGCAAATAATAAAAATGCGTTAAAACTTGGAATTTTTTAAAGGAGAAATTGAAATACTTACCTGAAATTAAATATTCAGATCCTATCTCAAGACGCGGATCACATGAATTGACCGGTGAACGAATCTTGATTATTTTATTCATTTTCTTCTGTAACTTTATAAAAAGAAGAGATAAAATATACAAATAATATAATTAAACAGATATCACTACTCATCATCGACCTGCTACCAAATGCTCCATATTTTATTGGTCTATATCTCAAAAAACCATATCAACCTAGTATCTCTGTTTTAAAAAAATGGGTGTAAATCGCATTTGTTTGATGTGCTTTTGTATGCCTCATTTGCTTTTGGTGTTTTCTTTTGCATTTTCAACTTTCATAGTTCTTAATGAGATGTACATTTAGTGTGTACAAAGTTTTTCAGCCAAATATGGTAGATCAATATCAGTGATAACTATTGCATCTTTTATTGTTTAGCAGTTTATTTCTCCAAGTACAAATGTTGATATTGTTTTAATCTGGTAGTGATAACAAATTAATATGTAACGCTCCACCGAAATATGTAACAATGGTCTAAGACATTACGTTTAATTACATTTTGTTGACATTAAAAAATTGAAAACAACACGTTTAATAATTTCATGCGTCCGAAGCGTTTTTCTGGATTAACCTTCATCAAGAACGCTCAATGCCAAACATTTGAAATCCGAGGGATGTATACGTACCGAAACAGTTGAAGAGCTATATGACAAAAATACCCAAAACAAAAAAATGAATGGTGAACACTGAAAATAGATATTGAATTTTCCAGAAATATCTTATTTACATCGTATTGGAGCTTTCAATAATATGTTAACTTTTAATTCTAAACCTTTCTATGTTGGTCAGTATATCAATACATTCAGAAAACAGACTTTTAATATTATTCTGTGCTATAACTTTAAAGATTGGAATTTTTTTTATCAGTAAATCTAATCGTTGGGTATACTTACTTACCTTTAAGATTCCCCCATTGATGTTAGATTTAATATTATATATGGACAGTCTGCTGGAAAACAGTATTTGAAATATTGAATTTATTAAACTGTAAACCTTTGGAATTAACATTATTCAGTTGACATACTTGGATTATAATCTTTAAAATTCATTTGGAAATGATTGGCGTCATTAAACTATGCAGTCTACAAAAATTTAAGGATGTTCGCTACTCTGTTTCAAAATAACAAGCTTTTAAAAAGACTGTTATAAATTGATAGTTTATAAATAAAGGAACTATAAAAGCAGATAAACATGAAGGGTTCCTGTGGTTGTTTTCGAGATATAAGCCATTGAAAATTTGGCGGGAATTGATTCTCTTTAGATTTTTCATACATTTAACATTGGTACCTTTTTTCTGTCAAATAGTATGAAAAAATAACAAGGATTTAATAAGATTTTCAAAGATGGTATTTTAAACTATATTTAATCAAATTATGAAAAGAAAAGTAGGGGTTAGTGGGCAAAAATTTGTAATGGCACTACATGGATAAAACCAGAGGATTCCGAATATCTGGCAAAAATTCAAAAACAAGAGGAGCAAACATCCTTAAGATATTTGTTATCATATCTGACCTTGCGTTTATCTTTTGTATATTGTAAACATAGTTTTCTTTTTTATTAATTGTGTGCTTTGCACTTTTCTATTGCGTCTATTATTGAGTCAGAAGACACTATATTTTACAATAACGAATTTACATATCACGTTTTAGTAAGAAGGAGGCACAGTTACAGCAATAATGTAGCCCTTACATTGTAAAAATTAAAACAAAAACTATTGAGTCTCTGCAATATTATGTTAATTTGATCGATTGATGTACAATATGATTAAAATGTGTCACTTAAGTACAGAAAAATACTATGACGTCGAAATTGACACATTCATTTTGAAAAAAATAATATTGATATTGGACAGAAAAATGACTGGTGAACATGTAAAGAATGTTATTTAGTAGTTTCATAATGGACTTCTGAATTCAATAATTAGGATATGTGGAATGGTTACCAAAGTGACAATTATACAACAGAGATAAAATGACGAGGATGTAAATAGCTTAAGGTCACCGTACGTCATTCAACGATGGACAAAACTCATACCGATCAGTTATACTATATATCACAGTGTACACTACCTTAAAAAAATTATCTTTCACTTCCACCTTATACATAACTTCAGGATTTCCACAGTCCTTCTTGCGTATGACCATGATGACAGTTCCTCGTAATGCTTTTAATAAAAAAAACGATAGTCTATGAAATTATTTTGTTCAAAACATTTCCTGTGTGCAGCGACATGAAGTGTAGTATATTCAAACAAACGAGAAGTTGGCATAACGAATGATGCTTTCCGAACTGCACATTTAATGAATGAATACATTTTAGTTCAAAATACTAGAATGATTGGACGGGAAAAAAACATGTACATATATTGCCTATTTTTACCTCTATAAATATGTTACAATTACAATAGGATTCTTGACTATTATCCAAAAACAACAACTAAGCAAGAACTGTATGATCTAGGGAATATACAAAGTCAGGTATCTGAAAACTAACATTGTTACCGATACCTTTTTTAGAGAACCAATATATACATAAGAAGGCAAACACTTAACACAAATTGGACAGGGCACATTGCTAACCCGCCTGGTCTCGAGGCTCAAGGCCAATTATATTGTTGAACATAAGAGAATATGTTTCATTTAACCTATAAAAGAAACTAACTGATCTTGAACTGAGTTTCACTGTGCGTACTGTTGTACGTTTGTTTTTTCTACATTGGCTAGAGGTATAGGGGGAGGGTTGAGATCTCAAAAAACATGTTTAACCCCGCCGCATTTTTGCGCCTGTCCCAAGTCAGGAGCCTCTGGCCTTTGTTAGTCTTGTATCATTTTTAATTTTGTTTCTTGTGTATAATTTGGAGTTTAGTATGATGTTCATTGTCACTGAACTAGTAAACATATTTGTTTAGGGGCCAGCTGAAGGACGCCTCCGGGTGCGGGAGTTTCACGCTGCATTGAAGACCCATTGGTGGCCTTCCGCTGTTGTCTGCTCTATGGTCGGGTTGTTGTCTCTTTGACACATTCCCCATTTCCATCCTAAATTTTAACGTTACCATCCAGAAACTTACTGTTACCCAGAACATTCTGTATGCATTAACAATGAACTGACCTCTTGCCTGTTGATCCCCAAAGTCAATAGGCCTCTTTTGCTTCCCTATGATACCCATGTGTATAGATTGAAGCCTACCAAGCAAGATAAATTTCGATCCGAATCTGAATCTTCAAAAAATGAAATGTTTGTCTTCAAGAAAATCATCAGCTCTGAGTCACTGCATGAATAATAACATACTTGTCATAATTCTGCGTTGGTGACTTTTAAAATCAATATGAAACTAAGGTTCCAATTCTCTAATGAAGAGTTTATCAAGTGGATTTGGCTATTACTTTATGGTGCCTTTTAGTCATAAAGCTTCCAAAGTACTCAAGAATTTATATATCATTGGCTTTGAGCGTTCCTGTTGCAAATAAACCCAATAGTGGCAAGTTATGTCTTGGTACATTGTACAGACACCCGGTTTTCTGTGTGAAAAATCAATCTTGAGTTCTGGATGTCTTTTAGTCAACTATTTCAGTGTGTTGTTGTCAACTTGACATTTACCCGACATCTCTTTTTTCCTATTTATTTAATAATTGAAAATCGTCAAAGTAATCAGTCTTGTAACTAAGCACTCAAGACACGTGTTGTGTCTACATTTAGTTACACTGGATGCAAAACAGAAGGCACAAACGATAAGGATGGTGTAGGTCATTAAAACAAAGATTCAATAAAGGTAGTGCCAAATATGAATGAAAAGAAAAATAACAAAAATACTGAACTCCAAGGAAAATTCAAATCGAAATCAAAAGCTCACACACATCAAACGAATAGAAAACAACTGTCATATTCCTGAGTTGGTACAGCCATTTCCTTATGTAGAAAATGGGAAGCCATAAATGCATGGGGGCAGAAAAGTCTTTTGAATAAATTCATCATTTCTATCTTGGATTGCAAATCAGAATTATTTTTTTTTATTCTATATCTTTGATTCATTTCTCGTTTGACATTTAACGAAAATGTATATCAAATTCTAAGGGCATTGCTGTTTTGGTCATATAGCTCTTAATGTTTCTTCGTATTTTGGTTCGGACGTACCTAATGTATCAGGAAAAGAGCTTCTTACGGAAAAAAGTTACAAAGTATCATTTTCATTTGCAAATGAAGATTGTCATCCTATGTTAAAAATCAGAAATGCATAAAAATGAATTCTTTAAACTAACCAAATTCAGCATCACACCAATGTTCATACTTTGATATTTTAGGGCATACACATCCATACGCCTCAGAAACGAAATTAATCAACAGAAGACCAAACAACGTCACTATAGGTGTCTTCATAGCTATTCTGAAAGAAGATAAACTACAATTGTGTTAATGCGTTTTGAAGCTGTCATCATGGTCATGCTACAATGCAATTTATGACATAGTAGTGTAACATTACAACATAGAAAGACACACTATAACTTATCAATTGAAATGGTTTAACTCAATCAAAAAGACATTAACGTTGCATTATTGGAATATTTGGTTTTCCTACAACGACGCATATATCTATCTAACTGTATTTGGCACACCTTTCGGAATTGTTGATTTTTAATGCTCTTCAACTTCATATTTTTATATTTAGCCTTCCAACCGTTTTGATTCGTATGTAGACGCGCGCGTCTGGCGTGACAAATAATAAGCCTGTTATTTTTATATATATAACACGAACCTAAATGTGACAAATGAACTTTCATTAAAGAAATCAATCTTTTACTGCTGGCGTTCCAAAGTTTCTGTCCATATATGACACTTTTACAACTTCTGATCTCCCGTCACAAAAATACATGCAATATTAAAAATGTTGTCATCTCATGAAGTGAGTCACCATTTCGTATAATAAAACGTATCAAATCTTTAACATAATTAACTTAATCCTCATGTTGCAAATACATAACAATCCATACTTGTATCACCTGTATTGGAAATATTTTATATAAAAATAGATAATATGAAAATTTGATCATTGTTGTTAAATGATATTTCCATTCATCTGTTATGTATTAATAAAAAAAAATTTCGGCGCAAAACACAATTAGTATTTGATTCTAGAATATAAGGTATTGATGGGTTGTTAGTGAGTACTTGATAAGAAAAATAGTTTTAATTTTTTATGAAAGTGTTCCTTTCATTTCTATAGGAAATTCGGAACAGAGTACAAAATCGTGTATATTATCATGATTACGGTCAGAAAAGAAACACGGGTTAATATTTCATGTGTGTATGTGCTCTGAATTCATTTCAATAAATACAAAATGGCAAATGAAAATAACACATAAGTTGATTTTCAAAATGTATAACAGTTAACAGAGGTTTTCTTTAACAGTATAAAATATCAATCAAGAAACCTTCAATAGTTTTAAAAAATACTTCAAACTGTCTGTTGTTAATGTTCGGTATTTCATACATCAAACTGAAGGTAAAATTTCTATTGAATTGTATGCCCATTTTTCATATACATTGAAACCTGGGAAAATCGAGCCCTGATAAAACCGAATTTCACTTTATACCGAACAATTTCCAAAGTCCCATGAAATTTCCTTATTAATTAACGTTAATTCAACCTGAACAAACCGAACCATGTCAATACTGAATTCCGAACGCTTTTTGGAGGCCCATTAGTGAATGTGTATGAAAAAGTTACCTGTCAAAATCGATCGATGGCAATCAAAACAATTTAAGTATATACAATTATTTGCATGAGTGATCATATAAACACAGGCGTGCAAAGGATCCCCGAAGCTATTTGAAATTTATTTTAATGAGGAGTTGTTTTTATAAACTAATTAGCATGTCAATGTACATGAATGCAATGCTTAAATGGAAACTCCTAACAGATATATTATTATTAGAATTATAAATATTCTAACAGCCCGGAAAAGGACAAGAATTTGACTTTCTCTATAATGCAGTTATAATTAATTACAGATTCAGAGGCATTTTCAAATTAATCCCAAAACGATCTCATTTTGAAATATGGGATAGATAAAAGCTACTGTTTGTGACATTCTCAAGAAGATTAAAGGGTTTCAACCTATTAGAACAAAATTACTACTGACCAGAGAACATAATAACTATCTTACCTTGTTCAAGTTGGAATTATTATCACATTTGTTTAATGAAATCGTGCATATATATACTAATGAACCAGATTATGTAACACTTACTGTCTGAGTATTATGTCTTAACCCGACCTTTATATCACGGAATCGTTCTAGTTCTAGAGAAAATACAACACTTGTCAAATATAAAAATATGAAGATGTGGTATGATTATCAATGAGACAAATGCACGTGTTACTAAATATGTTAAGATTTACTGTTAGATATGGTAGACACATGACATAGACCTGTTGAAAGGTTTCAAATAATTGTTAAATTAATCTATCTAGCATATACTAGTTTTTACGTCCGACAAGTGTATTCTCAGAGGTAAACATCAAGAAATTATAATGGATTGCATTTTTTAATAATTGATAAGGTAAATCAAATAATATTCTCAATAATAATTAAACACAAAATCAATGTTAAGTCAGATTCTACAAAACAAAACGTTTTTTTCGTAGAATATGCCTGAATATAATAATAATGTATCTTTGGTATCTTTCGCCTCTCTATTTTACATATCCACAGTTTTGAAAATATTTTATATGAAATGAAAACTAGGTCATAACTGTTAGAATTATATTTTTCGATGAATTGTTAAGTTTTAAACAATATGTTGTTTACCCAAAAGACAACAAATATTTGAAATCTGAAAATTTAAGGTTTTGATGTTTTTGATTATTTTGATTAAAAACGAAAAATAGTTTGAAATCTGGAATGATAATATCCGTTTCATTTTAACACATAATTTGCAGAATGACTTATATCTGATAGGGTATGATATCATATCAGTCAGAAAAGAAGCACGGATTAATGACTCTGTGTTCTGAATTCATTTCAATTAACCTAACATGGCAACAAACAAACAAAAAACTAAACATTTGTTTAATATCAAAACTTTTTAACAGTTAATAGAATTTTTCTTAAAAAGGACGAAACATCAAGCTGTAAACCTTCAATAGCTTACTGAATGTTTATTTTATAGCAGTATTTGTACACACTTTTCAGACAATTAGAATAAAAATAGAAGCAATGAAATTTTTAATAGACCAGGTTAATATATTATACATTCCACGATTGTAATATTAAACTACGGCAGTTAGTTCTTTTAACGAAGAATGTCACTTCAGTATTAATCGGCCTCTAAGGATCAGTTTAATACCAAAATACCACCTGTGACCGCTAAAAACAATAGTAAAACTTTTCCGATCGTTCATTGCAAATATACATTGATAAGTTTGCAAAAGCTTAGATACAAATTTGATCAAAAGATTTCTCGACAATTTGCACTTCTGCTAAAGTACTACTACTACTAGCACTACTACTTCTTCTTCTAATAATCAAATGCTACTGCTACCACTTCTACTTATACTCCTACTAAAACTCATCAAGAATACCTGGAGTCGGTTGCACAAAAAACTTACGACTGAGATTGATCGTAAGTCATGAACAATTCAGTATACTTACGATGAATCTTAGTCGTAAGATTTTTGTAAAACCGACTCCAGGCTTATACGCCATACACGTGTTCCGTCTATATAAGACTCATCGGTAACTCTCAAATCAAAATGGTGAAAAGGTTTGATAAAAATTAAATGCACAGTACACATGATATTTAATTTTATAACAAGCATGCTGGGTAGAGGTCATATTGAGGTGTGTAACGACCTTGAATACCCATGACGATCTCTCTCAGTCGACTGTCAATTCTAATCGGATTCTTCTCTCTATGTTAAGTTAAAACAGCAAATTTGAATATTCAATATCAGCGAAAATTGAGTAAAAAACAGTGTTTAAGCTATCACAACAATAATTGATGGCATTCTCAATGCACTTGAATATAATCGTTATCTTTCTCTGTCATTTTGTTTAGGCGATGTTTTTAACGTTTTTTGTACGTTGATCAAATGGATGAATATCTTAATAGGATTATCTTAATAGCGCAGCTTAGATAGATGATAAAGTTAATACATTTCTGTATCAAGGGTTAAATAAAACACAGATGATCGGAATATATTAGCAGAACATTATGACATTGTCAGGTCAAAGATGCAGGGATCCAGTGTGCCCATAAAACAAAAAGACGTCAGAAATTAGCGTACAGTAGATGAGTATTACTTGCAATGAAACAAATATGACTTTATTGACTATTGTTAATCCGACATATTGATAAAAATGGCTGATCGCGCTTTCAACCATCAAAGACATAATGTTGAAAATTTTGCTGTACCAGTTTTTCTCTTGAACAATAATATGAATAGTTGTAGAGCAACTTTAGAACAACTGTCATACAAGTGGGAGGATTAACGAGTTATAAAACAAGGTTTAACCCACCTATTGCTTAGGAAATGGCTGTACGAAGTCAGGAATATGCCGTTGTTTCCTATTTGTATCTATTGTCGATATAGTCTAATTTTGTTAATTCTTAAAGATTTCACCCTTTTGGAATTTATCTTGGAGTTCGGTATTTTTTGGATACTTTTTAGCAATACACTTCAAAACAGTGTATTACAGTTTTACTTTGTGTTCAATGCTAAATGCCAAGAAATAAAGATCAGAACTTATTAACGGTTGTGTCATATTCCTTGTTTTAGTAGATGTCGGAAACTCTGGAAAATCATACATGCGTAGCAAAGAGTTTCGAACTTAGTCAATACACGTAGTTCTACGTTTCCAGTTAATGTGACTATGATGATAAAAAGTAGATGTTATGTATTAGGCTAATGACATAGTGACTAACAATGGACACTACTTCGACATGATCAAATATTTCTATTGTATGGTTCTTTGAAGGATGAATATGATCAGTGATTACAACACAAACCAGAATAGCAAAGTCGGTGTATTTCAATATTCTAAGTAATAAAGGTAATCAACTTCAAGGTTTTAGAAAATCTCTTCGCTTTTGTAATTACTTACATTGTATATGTATAATTTGTACACCAAAATGTTTTCCTGAGTTTTGAATATGTGTCGATTGAATCACCATGCAAAATTGTCAAACTTATCTTTAATGGTTGATTTTCTGACAGTTACGTACCACAACGTGCTTTCATTGTACAAAATGTCAAGATAATTAAATCAGGAAATTAAGATTTACAAATAGCATGGTTGCAGTTGAAAAGGATTTGAGCGCCTAAGTGAGACACCAACCCTACGAAAAATATTTTTGAAATTAAAAGTTGAATTTACAATATGTTTTTATTTGCAAGGGTTTCCATGTCATCCTCAACAAGAAATGTGGGAGGAAACAGCTGCTTAGAGTAACATTGGGTATTGTTTTGATTATTCCTCTCACTGTAAGTATAATATAACAAAAGACTTGTTGGGATGTTTAAGTTTTATAATTTTTCATTTCCATTATAGCATTTATTACTGTCAAATTAACATTGTTTAGTTAAATTTGATATTTTCCAGTTCCATATCAATATCCATAAGTTGATATTTCTTACTTTCAAGTCGGCATTTTTAAGTTTCAAGTTGAAACTTCTGATTTCCATCTTAGAAGTCAGAAATGTAAAGTTAGGTATAAGAAGTGTCAACTTGAAACTGAGAAATATCAATTTGTAACTGAAAGTAGATAGCAGGAGAAGCGTATCCTGTCGACGCATCCATTCTCGATATTTTTGGAGTTCATGTGATTCACTCAGTTGTTGTTTGTACTTTCTAATTGATTTGCAAGATTTTAGCATACGTACGCGATAGTCGGCTTAATAAATGCCAACTTGAAACTGAGAAATGGCAACTTGGAATTGAGAAATGTTAAATTTGAAATAAGAAATGTTAAATTTGAAATGAGAAATGTTAAATTTGAAATGAGAAATGTTAAGTTTGAAATGAGAAATTATAAATAACAGAATGTTTTTACCAGTCCTATGTATGATATATATTTTTATATTGATGTACCTGTTTTTATGTTTCAAAATATTCTTAAAGGATATAGATGCAGAAATTATATAGAAAACGAGTTTGACTTCTTTACCAACCATAAAGGAGAAATAACCTTCAAATATTTACAACACAACTTATCATTTTAAGAAGGAAAAACAGATTTTTTGACAAATGATTGATGCGCAACAACACAACTCTGTCATACAGAGGTCGTTTTAAGAGTGAATAATATGAATTAATTATTAAGAAAGCTGGTTCACAAGTTATAATTGTATATAAACGGTTTGATAATTCAGACAAAGACACGTCTATTTATTCAATAACTTAAGGTAAGATAACTGTCGTGCTTATATTTTCATCTTTTTTAAGTCAATGCTTAAAACAAAAACCAGTAACCTCTATCATTTTCAATGTTTAAAAAAATATATGCACGCCCTGATTCCTCATTTGATTTTTTTTTTAAATTTTGTATGCCATGTTGATAAAAACTTTATCACGTTAGGGGTGTTGTTGGTTTTTGTGTCGCTGTTTAGATATTTTCACCTTACGTTGTGTTTTTTTTTTAATTTTATTTTTCCTCATCGATTTATCAGATTTAAGCATCGTTAAACAACTGTCGCCTTAAGTTTTGCATATTGTTACGGTGTAAGGATTTTATTTCCTTATTGCTTTTCAATTGAGTTATATATATTTTGCGTTGTTCATATTTCCTATTTGTCAATCAAAGAAAATTAAATCCGTCTATTATGTCTACTGTAAACAACAAAATTCATAGCTAATCTAAACATACACGTTTTTTTAAACGTATCTGCTATTATAGTCAGTATAAGTGATCTTTTATTTTTCGTAAAACATGCTTTATGAAACGTTTATAATTTTAAATGACAGCTCATTTACCAAACAAAATACAGTAGTCTTTATTACAGAATAACCATGACGATAACGATAGTAATCATCGTTTGTCTTGTGCTGATACATTTCATTTCCGAGGCCAATGAATGTACATGTGCTGGTGGTACAAATCAACAATTGTTATGTAGCGCTGCACTCGGTAATAGCCGTATATATATGCAGATATTAAAATGATTTCGATTTTATAAATTCCTCATTTATAACATAATTTGGATATCTACAATTGTATCGGACACTTAATACAACTAATTCAGTTGGAAAACGGAAATCTATAAAACTTGATGTATCTCATTTTAACATATAGGTCGTCTTGCACATTGTACCTACTGCATCACTACAACATATCTATGCCTCGAATACTATTAAATCAAGGTATTTATTTTCATTTCGTGGAAAACAAGAACAATTAAATTAAATGAATATGGCTACTCTGTCTAGATTTGAGCTTTGTGGATAAAAGATATTTCAGACAAGCGCTTCAGACGCACGAAATAAATCGGGTATTTTTTTTTCCATATTATCCATTTTTCGCCGTCCAGCCAATTCGGAGCTGGCTTTTAAAAAACAACACAACTCAACGGGCGCAATATAAAGCAGATCATTTACATCTATTTTACGTATGGAGAACAAATACCTTTGGAATTTTATTGTCCTACTTGTATCTTATCTCCCGCGGACGTTAAGCACCCTTGAAACAACCAATCATTAATTAGTATTCAAAATTGTAGGACATGCAACAACTTCGTTATGATGATATATAAATGCAGTTGAAATGTAAACACGTATCATTTGCAATAAAACATCTCTTTAATGAATATTGAAACCCAAACACAAAATTGCATCTCATTAAATGAACCAATTTTTATATTTTTTTTTTCTTTTACTTTCATGAGAATGATAATTATTGCAACTTTTTTTTTTTTCATTTTACCTTAAAAGGGCATTAGCTACGAGTTATGAAAAAAATAGAATACGATTTTTTTCTGTTCAATCATTTATGAAAGTGAAATAGTGAAATAATAATTAGCTTTCCGCCAATTTGCTTCAATTTTGTCAAAATAAGCTAAAAAAAAATCCCATCGCTGATGAATTATTCACTTGCAAGTGAATATATCGACCTCATTGAATAGCTGGAGATGGGTTACGCATGTATTCAGGTAAAAACGGTGATAAACATACTTTTAACCTTCAATACGAAATCTAACAGACCTAGAAAAACCCAATTCCACGTGTAAGCTATCTATTTATATTCATAATTATGTTTGTATCGGGTTATATGACCGTCGGCAATCTTCGGAGGTTATCTCGATGGTTAATTAAATGACGTCTAGACAAAAATACACTTGAAATGTCAATACATATTATCGAGCCCATGCATTGTTAATTGTTTATTTGAAACTTTTTGAAATTTGGATATACGTTTTAGTATGTTATAAATCAAATATCAGAATTTGAGTGAAATCGGTGAACAGGAATTTGACAGCTCATGCTCTTTTAAGTTCTATGTTGAATTGAGTACCTTTTGATCGTTATAAAAAGTGAAAATTGAAAAGACTAGAGAATAAACAATAGAAAGAAAAATCAATGGAAAAATCAATGCTTTATTTTTTTTCAAATTAATCCTGTTTTATCAACACAAAGCATTAAGCTGGTTTGTATTGCTTACCGTTACTACTTCCTCTATTCAGTTTTACTTATATACAAACACTACATTGTTTGCTGTTCGGCGTGAGCCAAGGCTCCGTGTTGAAGGCCGTACTTTGATCTATAATTGTTTACTTTTAGGTTGCATTTCTGTAAATATTGACAATGCAATTTCCCATAGGAGCTCCTTTTACGGTTAAAACTGCACCACTTTTACTATGAAGTTTTGAAAAAAATCATATCCTAGAATGGAAAGTTCATATGCACTACAATTTTGTTCAAAGGTCAAAATATAGGGCTGTGCGGCATATTTTCAACGTTTATATGCCCCGAACTTCTAAGAGTTTAAACTAACACTAAATTTCTTAACTATCCCTACCTTGACTGTAGGATTACCACAGATTTCAGTATAAACAATATGCATATGTATATTTACTGGTAACATTCCAAAGTTATGTCTCTATGAGATGTAACATAGAGATCATAACTAGGAACCAGTATGTAAACAAAATAATTATCTATGAATATTCTATATCTCCCCAAAAGAGGCGTGGTTTGAGAAACAGCTGTATTTACAAAGTGCAACCTATAATACATTGTGATTTGCATGGAGAGTTGTCTCATTGGCACTCATACCACATCTTCTTATTTATAACTTCAGGTTTTAGTCGCCAGCTTTTAATGAGCTATGATTATATTTTATAGTTTCACGAGGAAAAGTTACAGGAATTAGGAACATGCAAAGAGATCATGTTGAATACACAGTGGCCGTGAACCATGACTTTAAGGTAATGTTTAATATGAGTATTAAAATACACGTTAAGATGCGTTGGAGAGGTGTATACTAAATATACAATGCATGCAGAGGAAGATTTATAAGGCGATTGTTTTGTTCATTGAAATTGGAAATGAAAAATAATCATGAATCTTTCAGGAAATATTCTTCAATTGTTCACAAGCAATCTTCTGTAAAATATCAGTATCTTTATTTCTTTATATTTATTTCATTTTATCCCTTCAAACAACATTTAATTAAAAATTAAAAAACTAAATATCTAAATTCTTGTTAACGATATTTAGATGAGTGCAACAGCTTTAATCCAGACACTGTTTTGTATTCAGTTGTCTTATGAAAATATGTTAATGTCGATTTAACATTTTTTGGATAATTCTGTGGCTCATATTACATTCTGGTATCTTTGAAAGGTTAAAGACAAGCATAACAGTAGGCGGTGTTGCATTAAAAATACTTCTAGCACTAACTAGAAAAAAAGTACCTCTAGCTTTCAAGAAGAGTAGGTTTCTGCTTTTTGACATTGAAAAGATCACCGAACTCGGCGGTCTGTATTTTACATGTAAAACCGATGTGTGTATTCGACAATCGTTTGACGTTTTTTTTTTTTTAATTTTTAAATGATACGTTTTGCATCTGTTTGTTCAAATGTCACGGAGTTCTCTACCATATATATGTTCAAAACGCAAAACTACTCAAGCAGAGTAACCATGAAGAGGACAATGATCGACACTACATGCCACGTTTTAGAGTTTTAAATATATATGCATGACAAACACGAGAATAACACACTATCACACATTCGAAGACATAGAGATAAGTAAAAGAGTTTCCAATGGACAATAGTCCGTAAACTAATCTAAACAAAAAAACTAATAGCGTTATTATTGCCCATACTTGACAAATCTCATACTAAAAAGACTAACGCATTGCGACACATATTGAACAATCCAATTAATAATGTGCTTAAAAAATTTGTATGCCTGTCTAAAGTCAGGAGTCTGTAGTTCAGTTGTTGTCTTTGATTGCTGTCTGTTGTATTTGTTTTTCGTTTATATTTTTGTCATTAATCAGGTCGTTGGTTTTTCGTTTGAATTGTTTAGAATTGTTCATACCGAAGCTTGTTTAGCTGATTATACGATATGGGTTTTGCTCATTTGTTGAACTAGTTAAGCGTGCTGAATTCAACATCCTTTAGACTCGGATAGATAGTTGATTCATTGGCATTCCTCGGAATAAAATCTTTCTACATCTTTGTTTTATATTATGTATTTATGTTTTGTATAACGCTGATATACTAAATCTATTGAGATACACAATCACGTGTTTAGTATACAGGAGCAGAAAGACGCACACACTCAACTTAGATAGATATTTGATTTGTTAATCAAAATGATTTGGTTTTTTTTTTGTAATCTTTGAACATCAGTAGACTTATGTTGACTCTTACATGTAATTAGTTTATAAAGCACACATATACCATGTGAAGATGATTTTAGACCTGAAGAAAATTGGAAATCAGGATAGTTTACCTTTTTATCACGTTTTTTGTATGATAAAAAAGACCATTGACAATTCTTCTTTTCTACCAAACTTTCTAACAATGAAGAACAAGAATCCAAATTCATGTTAAACAACCTTCAATGAAATTCATCAATAGTTGTCTCATTGGCACTGATACCACCTCTCCTTATTTTTATATTCAACCACAAAATGTAGAAATTTTCGAGATATAAACTAAAAGCAAAGATAGTGTTTAGTAACAAATCGATTCTAAATTTAAAAGAAAACTTAAATCATACCTTATCATACCTTATCAATCTTTTTATGTCTTTTTTTAATTCACATATCAAGGTCACAAACACACTAAAAGTTTGATCCGCCAGAAATTCAGCTACGCGTGGTGTCAATTTTAAGAAAGGAGTTGTATATTTGATGTCAGGTGAGTACTTTGATTATATTCCTTGTTGGGTAGGCGTGGTTTTGTGTATACTTCTCTCCGTGAAGGAAATGTTCATCGCAGTTTCAAATTGAACTACAGATCAAAATCAGAGTTTCGTGTAATACATTTTAATTCATCGCTCATCAACCTTATTATGTTTATAGCGGTAGTATAACTAGTAAGCAATTCCTCAAAGTTTATAATGTGATTTGTTCTCGAATATCAATTTTTGTACTGGCATATACAATTATCATTAGTAATGATTTTTAGATGAATAAAAAAACCTTGTTTATATCGTTGATATGATTACATTGTGAATTATGTAATCTATGACAATATGCAAAACAAGAAATCATTATTCTGAACTTACCAATGAACCTCATCAACATTTGAATATCGTTAATCATTATACAATAGCTCAGTGATGTGGGTTTGTAATTTGACTTACATGCCTTTACTAGATTACACACTCCTCTGCACATATTGTACAGTTTTTGTTGTGTTTGAAGACAACAGTTATTTTTCATAGCTATGCATATCCTTCTATTATCTGTTTTCGCTAAGTTTGTATCAGAATGTAAAATAAGAAAAAGACCGAACTCCAACGGAAAGTTTCTTAACAAACGACAAAATCTGAATCGGAAACACATCAAACGAATGGAAAACAACTGTCATATTTCTGACTTAGTACAGGCATTTTCTTATGTAGAAAAGGGTGGATTCAACCTGATTGTATAGCTAGCTAGACCTCTCACCTGTATGACAGACGCATAAAATTCCTTATATTGACTACAATGCGCGAGCAAAACAAACAGACAAATAGGAAAATATTGGGATACAACAGTCAATGTTGTCCTATAATTTTAACCACTATAAAATAAACATCTATGTCAATGTACTGTCTTTCTCCGTGTCTTAGATAACACCGGTAATCATAAAAAGCATGTAAAATGTGAAACAGTGCAAACGATAAACCCAATTTTGCTAATTCAATAAATTTAAAAACAAATATTGCCGATATCAACCAACAAAAATCGACCTGTACAAATTTTTTTAAAAGGGCATGACTCGAATCACAAAAAAAAAAAAAAAATATAACAAATAATTAAAAGACAAAAGACAAAAGACAAAAGGCAGAAAGTGCCAGTTCGATGAATCAAATTATGTCAAACTGATTTTTGTAGTTATTCATATATCACAATTTATATGTGCCTGATCCAAGTGATTTAGTGGTTGTCGTTCGTTGCTCTCTATCATATTTTTTTTCTATATTGGTTGTGATAAATTGGATAAATGATTTTTCCGTTTAAATTGTTTCACATTTTGTCATGTCGAGGCATTTTACAGCTGACAATACCATATGGGTTTGGTCTATGTTAACATCTTTACGGGGACATGTAGCTGCTTAAAAACACGTAATTTTGCATAAGAGGCTAGATGTTTCATTGGAATTCATACCACATCTCCTTCTTTTATACTGTAATAACGAATAGTTTCGGAAAGCATTTTAAAGCTATGTTGCTAAGCATTTGTTTCAAGTTTTATAAAAGGCTTATCATATAAAAACACAGAATAATTGCAACACGAAGGATACACTTGATAGTAGTTCGGAGAGGGATTTTAAAAGAATTGACGTGTCAATTTATCAAACATAAGAAAAACACGTCGGAAAAAAACATTAATTTATCATTGCAATACTTTCAGGAACTGTAAGTGGTTCAACATACCATACAACTAGTTGCCAGTGGAATCATAAATGGCAGGATATAAGCTCTGATACACGAACAAAACTCTTGGGTGGACAATTTAATAATTGTTAGTCGTAATATCACAAAGTCTTTTATCAAAACATTCTGTCGAATGCTATAATAACTTATAACACAAAGTCATGCAAAATAGATAAATCTTTCAAAAAAGTATTCATTTAAAAAAAAAAAAAAATTTCAAAACTGCAATCATTATTTGTCAAATGTATGTCAACTGTTCGAGTTGATAGAATACAAAAGGTTACTTCGATTTTTCATAGGGTCTCATTGGCTTAAGGGTCTAAGTTGTTCATCTACGGTAATCATTTGCCTGTCATTTTTGAGGTTTGGGTTTCAAGTCCTGTTCTTGGAGATGTGTGTTTGACTACGATATCAATTAACAAGGATAGCTACTTTTAGTTTCCTGCCGATAGGAGGTTATTTTCTGCGGGAAAGAGGGATACTTCAATATAAAACAAATATCCGACATGAAATAGTCAAAGTCATAGACATTTGCGTCTAACACAAACATGCAAACACATAATTTTGCAATTCCAATTTTATGAATAAAGTTGATAAGGCATAAACGCCAGTGGGATCAACCCACGTATCAAAAAGTCATCTATGAGATAAAATTATATATTTTCAATTTAAGATAAAGTTATTACATTGAGAAAGTTAAAATTGCTTAGTGCAATATTTGAATATATTTGAATAGTAAAATATGACTTTCTCTAACCAATTAACATTGTCAATTAAAATTTATTCCCACGCAATATCATTAATAAAGAAATGCAATATTCTAGGGAGCATGAATGAGTAAGTCGAAATCAACGAGGCAGTGAAAATCACAAGTCGAATAAGAATAGGCATAACAATATTGATATTTTATTTATGAAAATCATATTAGAGCACAAAAAAGAACACAGAGTAAATAAAGGCAACAGTAGTATTTCACTGTTCAATAGTCATTAATCTATTAAGCGAAAACAAATCCGGGTAAAAAACTAAAACCGAGGGAAACACATTAACTATAAGAGGAAAACAACGGAACAACAGAAACACTGAACTGCAACAAAAACAAACGCCAAAGTACATAGAAACGGACTATTTGATAACAACTGCCATATTTCTGACTTGGAAAGGGACATTTTAAGAAAAAATGGTGGGTTGAACCTGGTTTTATGGCTAGCCAAACCTCCTGCTCATATGGCAATATTAAAAATATCGCTAAAATGACAACACTACGCGACAGGAATACAGTACAAACAAACGCAATAACACTCAGCACGGAGAAATACATAAATAAATAATATAATTGTACATTACAACATGTAAACCGCAGAGTATAGCACCGGCATCACCAAATCAAATTTGAAGCTATGTGGTTAATGCTCTGGTTTCCTTAAAATTCAAAATTCGGGGAGATATTGATGTATCATATTGTATATATATATATTGATTTATATTATTATTCAGTATAAACAATGCAAATTAATCAATCTATTACATTTGAATTGGTTTTGGACACTGTTTTTAATAGTAAAAGTTCAGTTATAAGTTAATGTTGACTTTGAAAGATCTCCGCTGAATGTAAACAACCCTTTTAGTGAAGAGATCTTTTCATGTATCATTGAACCTATACTGGCTTACAAACCGTTAGATAAATTAGTAAAACATAGAAAAAAAAATCAATTATACAACCCTTTATCCCCCCGGGTTTGGTAGGGTTTGTGTTTTTCAGTCTTTCTTCTTTCTTTTATTCCTTAGAATGAACGATTTTAAATCGAATTGTATATTATTAGTGACATAGTGTGCTAGTGACCTAATACACTGTGTAACGAATTCATCTTACCGACTATCTTAACATGTGGTATTAAGACTGGTGGCCTATCTGAGTGATCAAGTCTTTATTACTTAGTATGTAAAATTACTTCCATTGGTCTAACTTGTTAGCTTTAAATGTGTTTTATGAATTTATTTCAATCTTTCGTCGTCAATTTCTTCGTCTGTTTTTTCTATTTTTCCTCAACACCATGTTGTTTTTACAAAGGGACGTAACACTACTACTAACCGTGTTTTGAAATAAACCACGCCTACTAACCCCATATGAAATATACAAGTTCTCCACGCGGTTGCATTTAACCAATCATATTCCTAGAAATGTATCAGCGGTAAGATAAATATATATATATAGTCATCTTATGGCATCGACAACGAACGGATCGAATGACAGAAAAATGGTTAAACTATTATATAAATTTGTTGTGCTTAAAACAAACTCTGTGATACGGTTTTGTAAAACTAAGAAGCATATATATTTATTTCAGAACTTAATATTTTATTTTACAAAAAAGTTTATTCAAATTTCATACAGTCATCATTTACAAATAACTAAATAAATGCAGAATAATTTTATTTCACATATTTACATGTTTATAATTGGTAATCGGGAAATCAGTTCTTCAAGACGAAACCGTCAAGAAAATAGTTTGCAAATCGCATCCAAAACATATTTGTTAAACAGTGTGTTAGGCTATTCTAATCTAACAGACCTAGATGCATAAGGTTCTCTAGCATATTTGGGTTCATGTTCATGTTGTTTTCAATTATAAACTTTCCCTACGTGACATATAAAAGCACAAGTATTACAGTGTTCTCTGTCCAGTCCAACATTATCATTTGTTTAATTTAAATTGAAACCTGTAAATCTAACTGAAAAAAATTGTATTAAAACAACCGAAATGCAACATTTTCAGAATCAAATAATTTTAGTTGTAATGACTCTCTCGATGACTTCCAAACGTGTATAACAGAAATATTATGGCAAAAATTGTCGATCTTAAATAAAAATACAATGCATTGCAAAAAAAAAGCCGTCATCATTTGAATTTCAAATTAGATTAATATTCCCATAGTCTGAATTTCTTACATCTTCTAGTTTTATACTTTTACGATATTATCCAATAGAATAAACAGTAATAAGACAGTAAATTATAACCATTGTACAACACTGGGGAAAATAGATAGTAGTTTTCAGCCACTTGGTGCTTTGCAAAGATATAACTAATGAACAACACTAAAGGGTTTATGAGGATCATGTTGTATAGATATAAAGAAGTATGACATATTATTCATTTTTCTGAGTCTTGTATAAGATATTCCTCTACTAAATAATGTTTGACTTTGATGTATTAGATAAAATCGAGAATGGAAATGGGGAATGTGTCAAAGAGACAAGAACCCAACTAAAAAGCAGAAAGCAGCCGAAGGCCACCAATGGGTCTTCAACACAGCGAGAAAATCCCGCACCCGGAGGCGGGCCTCAGCTGGCCCCTAAACAACAATGTGTACTAGTTCAATGAAAATGGACTAAATTCCAAAACATATAAATGAAGTAAAATTAAAAAACACACAAGACTATCAAATGCCAGAGGCTCCTGACTTGGGAAAGGCGCAAAAATGCGGCGGGGTCACACATGTTTTGTGGGATCTCAACCCACCCATATACCTCTAGCCAATGCAGAATAAACAAACACACAGCAATACGCACAGTAAAGACTCAGTTTAAAAGAAGCCCGAGTCCGATGTCAGAATAGGTAACAAAAGAAACTAAGCAAAATGACAATGATACATAAATTAACAAAGGACTACTAGCAGTTACTGACATGCCAGCTGCAGACCTGAAAAAAAAACTGATTAAAAGATTATGTCTTCATCATATGAAAATCAAGCATAATCCCTCCCGTTAGGGGTTTAGTATCATTCCATCATAAAATATATGAGAAGAACATAAACCGTATCATGCCAACAACTGGTTTTAGAATAAATGTATTTATTATCGATGCAAGGACCCTATGAGTGAATCAATATTAATACCAAAATATGCCATCTTTAATGACCTGACAACAGTATCGTAACTATATCCCTTCTGAATAAGTCTGTTTAAAGGTTTGGTTAGCTTTTTAGGTGAATGTCGACATTTTTGTGCTTTGTATAGAATATTACCATAAAAGATTGGATGTTAAATACCTAAACGTATAAGATGTCTGCATGTATACGAGTGATGTCCTTGTACCGACGATAAAATTTAGTAAATGTTTTGACTAGATTGTGATATCAAACACCCTGGTGTAATAATTTTTCAGTACTACAGAGGTTTCTCTCGTTAAAATCAAATACGGTGTTAAATACCCAAGCGAATCGAACAAGTTGAGATATATAAACACCATAAGATGGCGACAAAGGAACGTCACCAACTAAAAATGAATAATTAACAATAGGAAATGAAAAATCATCTCTTTTATCATAAATTGTGGTATTAAGCTTCGCGTTAAAGATATAGATATCAAGATCCAGGAAAGGACAGTGCTCATTGTTAGTATTAGCTTTATTTAAAGTCAGTTCAGCAGGATAAATCTCTTTAGTGTACATACTGAAGTCGTCATTATTGAGAGCCAATGTATCATCCAAATATATAAAAGAGTTATTAAATTTTTGTATCAGATGTTGTTTCGATGGGTCTTTTCTGATTTTAGTCACAAATTGTAACTCATAACAATACAGAAACAGGTCCACAATAAGAAGTGCACAGTTATTAATTAGTCCCCATTTTAATTCCGATAACTTGACGATATACGGAATCTCCATAGCGAACAAAAATGTTATCTAGTAGAAGTTTAAGAGCAGTTATCGTATCAAAGCAGGTCCAATTGAGATAGTTTTCCGTCTGTTGTTACTAAAAAATGACCTAAAAGAGTTAGAAAATATATATACTCGCATTCTGACTTTACAAATGCCCATTTAATTAGGTGTGTGAATTTTTTTTAATAAGATTATGAGGCAAAGTGGTATATAGGGTAGAAAAATCTAAACTTTGAACAGATTCGAAATCACCAATATAGGCATGCAATTTATCAAGTACTTTCAACTAATTTGTTACACTCTAAAGTAATTAATTCCACTATTTTCAAAGGCCTTATTTGAACAATTAATTTCCAGGTTTTTTATTGTACCAAGTGTACTAGTAAGTAGAATAGACATTTAAGTAGTGGAACAATGGCTTGAAGACGAAATAAATCTATATTTTGTAAGGTGTTTTGTGCAGCTTTGGAAGCCAGTACATAGTTGGAACTTTCATTGTATTTGGTTCTGCTTGTAAAGAGGTAGCTAAAAGTTTATGTTTGTTACAGATGTCATTTTCC